CGCCATATCGCCATTTGCGAATAATAATAATAATAATAATAGTAATAATAATAATAATATAAATATAAATATAAATATTGATATCGTCGTATATACCTAAATAATTATATATATATATATATATATTGTGTCTATAGGTGGCGCACACTTACCGCATGAAGTTTGTAGTAGAGGCCACACGCGTTGCAGACGGGGTCGCCATTTTGGTTTCGGCGCCAAAGCGTTGTCGTCGTCGTTCCGCAGTTTGCGCAGTTCGTGCCCGCTCTCTTCGCCGCCGACTGTCAACAACAAACAAATAAACAATGAGTAAACAAACGGATGGCTTGGCGCGCCGAGCATCGGCATGCGCGAACATGCGCGAAATAAACAAATTACAGAGCTTTTACAACAACAACAAATTACAAGAGGGTTATGAGAGGAGAGCGTTATGTTTAATGGCGATGAAGCCTCGGGAAAAACGTGTACGACATACATATATTATATTATTTGTATTTATATTTTTATAGATTTTATTTGTATTCGTGTAAATATTATGTCTCATGTTATATACTGTCTAATTATTTTGAGATTATATATATATATATATATATATATATATAACTCGCGTGTTTTCAGAATAAATAAGATAATATCCCTACAGCTGCCTGCGCTCGGGGCATGCGTTTTTATCTGGAAGCTTAATTGTCGAAATGTCGGACGGTTTTTTATCGTGTTTTCGTGTTTTCTTCTTCTCCCGCGCGCTCTCGTTCGTTTACATATAATTACACGTGCAGCAGCCGATGAAGACTCTGGAGGAGGGCGGGAGAGGGAGAGAAGGGGGAAGGGAGGGGGAAGGAAGGAGGAAGGGAGGGAAGAATGAAAGGCAGGAGGGGTGAAGCAGGAAGGGAGGGAGGGAAGGCATGAGAGGGAGTGAAGAAGGAAGGGAGGGAGGAAGGAAGGAGGAAGAGAGGGGGAAGGAAGGAGGAAGGGAGGGAAGAAGGAAGGGCAGGAGGGAGTGAAGGAGGAAGGGAGGGAGAGAAGGCATGAGAGGGAGTGATAAAGGAAGGGAGGGAAGAAGGAAGGACGGAAGGGAGGGAAGAATGAGCAGTTGGATGGTAAGGAAGGAGGAGGGGGAGGGAGGGAGGGACGAATGGAGGGAGAGAGATAGGAAGGGAGGGGGAGAGAGGGAGGGAGGAAGGAAGGAAGGAAAGGAGGGCGAGAATCAACCCGCGTAGGAGAGAGATCGTCCGCGCAGGAGACGGTAGCCATTACATTGCAGAACAAACACGGAGGGAGGGAGGAGGAGGGAGGAGGAGGAGATGGAGGAGGGGAGGAGGGGGAGGGGGTTGTTGATCCGCCGCCGTGCACAGCAACAAACCGTTGTTTACCCACGCCGTGCGCACGTCGTAAGTCGTAACCATAGACGCAAACATGTGAATACATACTGTATACACACACACACACACACACACACACACACACAGGCATGTACGTGACGCCGCGCGCCGAGGCACCGAGAGAGAGGATGATGCTAGAGAGACAGAGAGGGAGGGATTGAGAGAGAGAGCGAGATATGTCTCTTCCCATCTCTCTCACCATCTCTGTCTCTGTGTTTGTCTCTATCACTGTCTCTCTCTCTCTCTCTCTCTCTCTCTCTCTCTCTCTCGCTGTCTCTCTCTCTCTCATCTTGCTCTATCTGAATCGTCGTTCCAATCACCTGCTTTCTTTTCAATTTCTTCCCCATCACAGGAAGTTCCACTCACCGTAACTATCACCGTAGTCGCGTTGACCCCTCCATAAACTCGTCTAACCCCCGTGATCCCCAAGTATCAGTAGTAGTAGCAGCAGCAACAGTAGCAACAGCACTAGCAACAGTAGCAACAGCAGCATCAACAGCAGCAACATTAGCAGCAGCAACAGCAGCAACAGTAGCAGTAGTAGCAGCAGTAGCAGCAGCAGCAACAGCAGCAACAGTAGCAACCGCGGCAGTGGTGGCGGTGTATACACACATACGCGCGCACGCACACGCACACGCACAGAACCCCCCTCCCCCCCCCCACACACACACACACCACACTCACTCACCCTCTACCGACAAATACAAACACGCACTCACCCGCGCGCACCCACGCACGCACACGCACGCACGCACGCGGGCGGCAGCGTGTGAGATTAGCCCGTATTTATGCGCGCCGTATAGTGTGACGACGGCTCGCCGTATTGCGTTGCTAGCCGGCCGCCTGCGCCAACGTTCTCGTTTACAGACAAACAAATTCCTCCTAGTTTATTTAAATGTCTTCTGCGCCGCCTCTCCCGCGTATCATCCCGCCCGCCGCTGCGAGCCACCGAAATGTAAACATCGTGACGTCACCAACATGGCGGCGGCGGCGGCGTCGTCGTAAAACCCGGTGGTTTCGGTTTCCGTAGATTTATGTACGGTGGGGGAAGGTGATGGGGTTAAAGTGGGAGGGGGAGGTGGGAGGCGGCTCCTCTCGCTGTTGGCAGGGTTTTTTTTGGCAAGACGGTTTGTCATCTTTGTTGGAAACGTCGGGAGGCGGTAACGCCAGAAGTTCCTCCGCTGGCATCCTTCCGGCTTTCTCTGTTTTTTATCTCTCCGCGCGCGCGAAAGAGAGAGAGGGGGAGGGAGGGTGGGAGGGAGGAACGGAAGGAGGGGGAGGAAGGGAGGGAGGGAGGGAGGGTGGGAGGGAGGAGTACTTTACGTTTTCGCGGCGGGCGAAAAAAAGCGCGCATTTGAAAGGATACCCGTGCACTCGCTCGCTCGCTTACATGCTCTCTCTCTCTCATGCTCTCTCTCGCTCTCGCTCTCTCTCTCTCTCTCTCTCTCTCTCTCTCTCTCTCTCTCTCTCTCTCTCTCTCTCTCTCTCTCTCT